TCAGCCAGCTTTGCTGGCTGAGGAATTCTGGGAGTTGAAGTCCACAAGTCTTAAAGGGGCCAAGGTTGGAGACCCCTGCCGTAATCGGCATACATTAAAAGGAGATTTCATTGCGTAAGGGCTCTTAAAGAGTCTCCACCTCTAATATACAGTACATAAGCAGGACAGAATAAATAAATACAAAATTATGCATACACCCACCTATATTGTATGACACAGACTTACTTACACAGACTCCTTAACCTACATCCATAACTGAGCCCAAAATTCAGAAATTTGTTAGGGGAGTTTTGCCCCGTTTTACGACTTCCCTCTCCGCACGTGTTAAGTGAATCGCTGCAGCTCTTAAATTAGTACGCCAGTCGTTAAGTGAATCGGGTTTCCCTCTTTGCTGGTCAGAAGGTCGCAAGCGGGGATGACGTGACCTCCCCACCCCCCCAGGACACTGCCATCTGTCATAAATGTGAATCGGTTGTAATAATGGTTGAAAGTCACTTTTTTCAGGGCCGTTGTAATGTCAAACGGTCACTAAAGGAACCGTTGTAAATCAAGGACTGCCTGTACGAGATTAGAGCCTCCTGGGAGTGAAGTTGGAGGGTTTTTTATTTATTTAAATTACTTAATTCTGTTCGTCTGAATGAACCTGTTTCCTGGATTCAGCCCCTCCTTTAAACCATAAACTAGCCCAAATCAAGGCAGGTAGTCCTCGGCTTACAACAGTTCATTTAGTGGCCGTTTGAAAGTACAGTGGCACTGAAAAAAAAATGACTTGGGACCGTTTTTCACACTTACGACCGTTGCAGCCTCCCCACTGTCACGTGATCAAAATTCAGCCACTTGGCAACTGACTCATACTTGTGACGGCTGCACGTGATCCCCTTTTGCGACCTTCGGAGCAGCAAAGTCAGTGAGGAAGCCAAATTCAGTTAACGACCGGGTGACTCGCTTAAGAACTGCAGCAATTCACTTAACGATGGTGGCAAGGAAGGTCGTAAAACGGGGCGAGATTCCCCTAACCGATGTCCCGCATAGCAACAGCAAATGTGGTGCTCTATTGCCATAAATCGAGGGCATTGCATGCTTTACTGGGTGAGCGAATGCGCCTTCTAAGCGTGTGCCGTGTGCAAAGCCAGCCAGAAAGGCACCTGGGGGAGGGGGTGTTGTTGCAGGGGCCCCAGGGGCTTGAAAGGGGTCATGCAAAGGGAGTCTGGGTCTTAAACTAAGCCGAGATTTGGCTCCCCCCCCCCGCCCCGAGGGAGAGAGATGATAGATAGGCGATAGGTGATAAACCAGAGGTCTTCAAATTTGATAGCTTTAAAACGTATGGACTTCAACTCCCAGAATTTCTCCTCCTCCAGCCATGGTGGCTCAGGAATTCTGGGAGTTGAAGTCCACAAGTCTTAAAACTTGCCAAGTTTGAAGACACTTGGCCTAGATGCTAGATCGGAACGGGTGGTGGGTTTGGAGGGCCTATTGATATTCCGGGGGGGCTCAGCATAGTGATAAGGAGAAACGGGGAATCTGTTTCCAGAATGTGGGGAGGATAAAACTGGAGGGGGAGAAAGGAAGGAGAAACAGGGAGGCTGGACACTGTGGCAGACCCATCCCCCACCCCCCACCACCCTTAATCAGAAAGCGGAGGGGAGCGAGAGGAACAGAAGGAGACGGTGCTGGTTCTTTGGGCTGCAGGCTCTGGAGAGGGACCCCATCCCTCCCATGGCTGGTGGGCAGCCCCAGGTGGGATTACATGGGGTGGACATAGGAGGCAGGGCTTCCCATCTGCTTAAAATCCTCCAGAGGCTTTGATGGAAGGGAGGCGAAAACGAGGGAGGGAGGAAGGAAAGAAGGAAGGAAGGAAGGAAGGAAGGAAGGAAGGAAGGAAGGAAGGAAGGAAGGAAGGAAAAAGGCAGGAAGGAAGAATGGAGGGAAGGAGTATGGATGTCATGGAAGGAGGGAGAGATGGAAGGAAGGAAGGAAGGAAGCAAAGGGAGAAATAGGGAGGGAAGGATGAGGCAGGGAAGAAGGAAGGAAAGGAAAGAGACAGAAAAGATAAAGAAAGCTCAGGGAGGAAGGAGGGGACCATAGGAAGAAGATGGGGAAGGAAGGAGATGAATAAGGAAACGGGAAATGCAAATACTACCCAGAATGGATCGTAGAGGGCGGAAAGGAAGCGCAGGGTGAGTCGGTGGCTGGATTCCCACCTGGCCCCCATCCGAGGGTCCTGCTAGCTGCAATGGAGCCACATGCCAAGTGTAGTCAGGTGGACCCTGGCCGGGTGAGGTGGCTGGCACAGCGGATGCGCTCAGCTTAGGGTTCAGGCTGTCGTATGTTCTCGGAAAAGACCCCGGGGCCAGGGGTGGCGCAAGGTCAGGTCGATGTGTATGGAAGCCTAGGGAAGGAGGTGGGTGGGGGGCCGCCTAGCCTGACCTCTGCTCCCCCCCCCCCTGGCAGCTATGTTATTGGGATGCTGCGTCCGGCCGAGCCCCCTTTTCACCTCTCCGCTCCTTCTCTGTGGCTCCTCCGGCAGGTCGTCAGCTGACTATCTTCAACAGCCAGGCCGCCATCAAGATCGGAGGCCGCGACCAAGGCCGCCCCTTCCAGGGCCAGGTCTCGGGGCTGTACTACAATGGGCTCAAGGTCCTCTCCTTGGCCGCTGAGAGCGACGCCAACGTGAAGGTGGAGGGCAACCTGCGGCTGGTGGGTGAGGTGCCCTCCGTCATGACCACCGAGACCACGGCCACCACCCTGCTGGCGGACATGTCCACGACCATCATGGAGACCACCACCACCATGGCCACGACCACCACGCGGCGGGGCCGTTCCCCCACCATGCGGGACAGCATCACGCAGGTCAGTGGGAGAAGGGAGGGCCGGCGGGGAGGGAGGGAGGAGAGATAGCTTGGAAGGAAGGAAGGAAGGAAGGAAGGAAGGAAGGAAGGAAGGAAGGAAGGAAGACAGGAGATGGGAAGGAAGGAAGATCGCAATAGCACTTAGACTTATATACCACTTCACAGAGCTTTTAAAGCCCTCTCTAAGCGGTTTACAGAGTCAGCCTCTTGCCGCCAACAATCTGGGTCCTCATTTTACCTACCTTAGAAGGACAGAAGGATGAGTCAACCTTGAGCCTGGTGAAATTTGAACTGCCAAATTGCGGGCAGCTGGCAGTCAGCAGAAGTAGCCTGCAGTACTGCACTCTAACCACTGTGCCACTGCGCTCTGTCAAAAGTTTGTAAAGTAAAGCTGCTTTGATTCCAAGATGGACTTTCCATTTTTATTTATTTGTTCATAATTTGGCACGCATTGTTTTTCTCCTGTGCTGGTTTCACCGTTCGGGGAAATGATCAGAGAGCAAAATAGCACCAACTGTTTCCAACGATTCCAAGATCCGCGCATACACAACTTTTGACTGCAAAACTTGAAATTCGAGTATCACCTGAGTCCCTTCAATCATTGGGGAAGCCTTTTTGAAGTCGAGACAGCATCTACTTTTCAGCTTTCATGCTGCCCTTTTCACACTCTGTGCACACTTCAAATGTAAATAAGCGTTTTGCACACTTCCCTTAGCTAGCTTTGGGGAGAGATAGGCATCATCCAAGAAGGATGAGAATACCAGAGTTGGAAGGGACCTTTGGAGATCTTCTAGTCCAACCCTGTTCTCAAACAGGAGTCCCAAGGGACCACCACCCGGCCTATGGCATTCCAGAAACAGGGCTATGCAAAAAGCGAAGCCCCATCCACGGGATCCAGACAACATGCGAAACCACGTTCCCTCTGGTCCATGGAAAAACCTCTTCCCAGAGAACCGGTCAGTGGTGCCCAAAATGTTGGCCTATACCATGTCAGACAAATGGCTGCCCAATCTCTTCTTAAAAGCCTCCCTGCTTTCTGATATATGCTTCTGATGAAAAGTTCAATATTTGGGAAAGGTTCATACATGGTCCTATTCCCTCAACAACAAGCAACCTTTCTAAGAAATCCAGAAATTCGAGTTTGCTTGTTCATCATCTACCGTTTCCCCCTTAAAATAAGACCCCGTTTTCTTCTTCTGAGGCCAGCAAGGCTTTTCTGAAAGCCTCTGCAGCCGGCAAGAGAGTTCTGGATCGATCCGGAGCTATGTTCTCAGCTACAGAGGCCTTCAGAAAAGCCTTGCCAGCCTTGCCAGCTGCAAAAGAAATGGGTGTCAGGATGTGCGAGGTCCGGCTACAACTGTCCAAAGGTAAGTAGGAGGGCAGCTCTACCTCCCCCATCCCTACCCTAGCTTAATTTTTACCTGTCTACCTGGAGTGGGCAAGATCTTAATTAGGGCTTATTTTGGGGGGGGGGGGGGTAGGGCTTATATTGGATGCAAGTGCAAAAAATCTAGCTAGGACTTACTTTCAGCATAGGTCGTATTTTCGTGGAAACGGGGTAAATGTAGAGATGAATTATTTTTAACAGCGCATATTTATACCAAGTAATGGCAACACTACGCAGCCCCACGTAGTGGAATTGTTCCTCTGTATCACTGGATTTTGCCTGATTCCACTCCCCCCCCCCCCTCAATGTTTCTCAACATCAACAACCACACCAACAGGGAAACAGGGCTGCAAAAGGACAGGGGACGATTGGTGTTGCATTTTAGGGAACTGGAGTAAATATTAATCATCATCAAAGCTCGTTAAGGCTTCTTATTTAGAGCCTCATCAAGACACACCTCACCAGAATTGTTTTTTTTTTTTCAGCAGGAAGCCCAGTTGTGCAGCCAGGGTAAACCTGGTCTGTGTGTGGTTTGTACACAAAGGTGATTCCTCCAAGAGTGCGACAATATCTATACCAGTGGTGGCTAACCTTTTTGGGCTCCTGTGCCAAAAATTGTGCACGCGCTCGTGTGCCAGCACCCAAAAGGCAATGCGCCCCCCCCCACACCCCCTGCACATGCAGTATTAAGGGAAGTGATGAAACGGGCCTATTATTCGCCCTGCAAAGCCTGCAGAGGCTTTTTTCAAGCCTCTGAGAGGCCGAAAAAGGCCTCAAACCAGCCGAAAAATCAGCTGTGAGGCGCACGTATGCGCAGTGAGGTAAGTTTGCCTGCGGCTCGCGTACCGGCACAATTGGCTCTGCATGCCATCTTTGCCATGTGTGCCATAGGTTCGCCATCACGGATCTATACAATTCCTCTTATTTTCCTGTTGTTAAGTTAGTCAGACGGTCGTTAAGCGAATCCCGGCTTCTCCGTTGACTTTGCTTGTCCGAAGGTCGCAAAAGGGGATCACGTGACAAATCCCCCCCCCCCAGGGACACGGCAAACCTGTCATAAATACGAGTCCATTGCCCAGCGTCCGAATTTTGATCCTGTGACCACGGGGGATGCTGCCACGGTTGTAAGTCTTTTTTTTTCCCCAGTGCCGTGCTCATTTTGGACGGTCACTAAACGAACTGTTGTAAGTCGAGGACTTTCTGTACCTGGCCAGGCCACACTGAGGTTTTGCGCAGCACCGAAACGGATCCCAAAATCCAGGGTTTGGTGTGTGTTTTTTTCCGCTCCTAAACTCTGCTGGCAGCGCATCTTACACACACACACACACACACACATCATGCTTTGTTGACAGAATCCTTTTCTGACCAATCTGGAATTTAAAGGGATGTTTTTCCATTGAAAAATATTATTTATTTTGGCCTGGGAAGACAAGCGTGCAGCTGAGAGAGCCTGCAGCCGGATCGAGCCGGGGTGTGTGTGTGTGTGTGTGTGTGTGTGTCCTTGCAAACCCAACCCCCCCCTCCCCCATATCCCAAGCCTTTGGGGGAGCAACATGGAAAAGGGAAAAGGGCTTTTTTAAAACAAACAAACAAACAAACACGTAAATAAGGTTTCCTTCCTGCGGCATCAGATGATTCTGGGGAGGGGAGGGGGGTGTTGCTTCATCTTTTGGGGAGGGGGGCTGCGGGTCCATCCCCCTCGCCTCGGCTTTGCAGCGGTTGCCCCCCCCCCAAAAAAAAAAACCTGCCTGGCCTCACCCAGAGACAGTTTGGGCTTTCCTTCTTTGATGGCAAGATGACTTTTGGGGAGGGGAAGCGAACATCCTCGTCCTGCGGTTGCCGTGGCAACTGCATCAGCAGCAATTAGGCTGTCCTGGTTTTTGTGAGAAGAAGAGAAGAGAAAGGGGGGGTGGGGGAGGACCGGGGAGGGGGGAGGCTGGCGAGGGAGCTTGCAAGGAAGATTGGGAGGGGCACGCTCCTCCGTGGTGCAGCTGACGCCTCCTGGAAACGCTCCCTGGCTGCGGTGGCAGCCTTGCGTTCCCCCAAAGCGGCAACGTTGCCAGAAAGCCACACACACACACACACACACACACTTTGTATGGGGAGTTTCCAGCCTCTTTCCCCCCCTCCCTCCCAGTCCTCAGCATAATGATCACAATGGGGGAACGCAATTCCCATCGCTAAGTGAGCCGCGCCTGCTTTGTCCCGCTTTTCCGCCCCGGTTGTTAAGCGGATCACGCGGTCGTTAAGCAAATCCAGCCTGCAACCGTTGTTAAAACACATGCCGCTCGCCAACGGCCCAGTGTTGTGACCGTAGGGGATGCTGCCCTGGTTGCAACGGCGAGGACCAGCCGTAAGTCAGTGCTTTTCCAGTGCTGTGGCAACATCGAACGGTCATTTCAACAAGCGGTCTTAAGTCAGGGACTGCCTGTACTCCCAAGGGTTCATGGACTGTCCCACTGGGGGGGGGGCGGGATTCGTGTTCAGCCTTCGGAGAGCAACCAGCCTTTCCCTGTATTTTTTTTTTTTAATTTTATTCATAAACATTTTTGAATACAGTGTTTGGTCAGAGAATACCATTTAGAAGAAACCAAAACCACAGCTAATACTAGAACAGGTGTTAACCCGTTTATTGATAATAGGGAGACCTGCAGAAGCTGCTGTTGCTGCTCTCGGGGCTGCTATTAATTTATTTTATTTATTTATTTTTATGTATTTATTTGTCAAGCAAGTATTAGATAGCAGGTATAAGTATAAACATGGTTATGAGTCCATGAAATGGATACGAATAAATAAAAGAAGCAATAGGACAAGGACGGTAGGCACATTGGTGCACTTTTGCACGCCCCCTGCAGACCTCTTAGGAAAGGGGTGAGGTCAATAGTAGACAGTCTAAGGTTAAAGTTTTTGGGGTTTGGGGAAGAAATTGAATTTAATAATAGTAATTCCACACTCAGGGCTCCTAGCAAGGAGTGTGGAATTGCAGGTAGCCCTTAACTAGAAGGGAGGGGGGTTTGTGGAGAGGAGAAAGCGGGGTCTTTGGTGACCTCTGAGCTTGCTTGTTTTCTTGCAGATGTTTCATGACCCAACTAGGTCACATCATCAGTGCTAGAAGGGTTTGTTCTCTGTTTATATACAGGTAGTCCCCGACTTACAACAGTTCGTTTAGTGACTGCTTGACGTTACCACGGCACCGACTGAAGTGACTTGCGACCATTTTCCACAATAACCAACCTTTGCAGCATCCCCGCAATGACGTGATCAAAATTCAGACACTTGGCAACTGGTTCACACTTACGACCGTTGCAGTGTCCCTCCCGGGGGGGGGGGAGGTCCTGATATGATCCCCTTTTGCGACCTTCTGACAAGCAGAGTCAATGAGGGAAGCCAGATTCGCTTAGCCACCGGGTGACCAACTTATCAACTGCTGCAGCGATTCACTTAACAACCGGGGCAAGCAAGCTCGTAAAAGGGCACAAAGCTCCATTAACAAACGTCTCCCTTAGCGACAGAAATGTGGGACTTTCCATTGCAGTCGTAAATCGAGGACTACCTGTATTCTGTTTCGCAGGGTGTTCACACAGAGCTCTCGTGAGACTCTCGTTCCAGTTGGGTGTTTTTTTTAAGGGCTGTATTTATATCTAGACACAGAGAGGCGTATTAGGGGCACCCAGAGCCTGGGGTTATGTTTCTATGGTGGAGGAATCCTTTGGTTGCAAAATAAAGGCCCAGAGGCCCAGAATCAAAACCACGCAAAGTATCAGCACCGCTTTCTAAAGCCTTAGTAAGGCCACCCCTGGAAGGCTGCAGCCAGTTTTGGTCCCCACATTGCAAAAAATTAAGTTGAGACTTTGGGGAAAGTGCAAAGAAAAGCAACTTGGATGATTAAAGCCTGGAGACTAAAACATACAAAAAACAGTTGCAAGATTTGGTTAGTCTAGATAAAAGAAGGACTAGGGGGAATAGGGTAGCAGTATTCTAATATTTGAGGGGCTGCCACAAAGAAGAAGAGGGGGGTCAAATTATTCCCCAAAGCACCTGAAGGCAGGACAAGGAACAGCAGATGGAAACTCATCAAGGAGAGAAGCAACCTGGAATTAAGGAGGAATTTCCTGACAGTGAGGACAATTAACCAGTGGAACTGCCTGCCACCAGAAGTTGTGGTTGCTCCATCACTGGAGGCTTTCAAGAAGAGACTGGACAGTCACTTGTCTGAAATGGTGCAAGGTCTCCTTCTTGAGCAGGGGGTTGGACTAGATGACCTCCAAGGTCCCTTCCAGCTCTATTCTTATTCTTTGCAACCACCGCAGCCAGTTTGCAAGACTTGGATGGGCCTCCCCAGGGCAGCATTTTCAATTCTCTCTCCCCTCCCCCCCGCCACGGTGTTGTTTTGACAAGTGCCATTATGAAGCAATCCTCAACCTGTCTGTTTGTCACACCTCCACACTTCCCTTTTCGTCAGGCGCCGCGTTTATCCCTGCTTTAATTTTATTTTTACTCGTCTTTGTAATTGGCCCAAAACTCCATTTTTGCTACTCTTCGTGTACCTTACATTATGGATGCGATATTGCAGCCACGAACAGGCGGCGTAGCGCACATCCGCGTGAACGGCCCAGCAGCCAGGCCTGCCGTTCCGTTTTGCCATTTTAATCCATGGGAGTTTTTTAGTTTTAATCTCCTCTAATGTGCTTTAACATATCCCTCTTTTTATGTGCCTCGGGAGTAATCGGACCGAGGCGCTTAAATAAATAAGTACTTAGGCACAAAAGTGGGTAATTGGGTTGCTGGTTAGAATAAAATCTAGAATGCTGCACCAGTTTTGGTCCATCACATTATAAAAAAGAGGTTGAGACTCTAGAAAGAGTGCAGAGAAGAGCAACCAGGATGATGAGGGGACTGGAGGCTAAAACATGCGATGAATGGTTGCAGGAACTGGGCTTGGCTGGTCTAGGGAAGAGAAGGACCAGGGGAGGCAGGAGAGCAACCTTCCAATATTTGAGGGGCTGCCCCAGAGAGGAGAGGAGGTCAAGCTATTCTCCAAGGCACCTGAATAATGCCAGACAAGGAATAATGGATGGAAACTGATCCAGGAGAGATTCAACCTGGAAATAAGGAGAAACTTTCTGACAGTGAGAACAATCAACCCATGGAACAGAAGTTGCCCTCGGAAGTTGTGGGAGCTTCATCCCTGGAGGCTTCCAAGAAGAGACTGGACTGTTAATCTATCTTAAGCTAGCACAACAGAATTTTGTTCTGTGGTGTGGAAATTATTCTTTCCCTGGTGCCAATGAGAGTTGCGTTTGCTGTTTTTGCGGTTGTCCTTCCCTCCTGGCTCATGGTCTGCTAGAGGTTAGCTGTCGTTTCCCAGCCCCTTTGCTGTTTACTAGCTGTATGCAAAAATCCAGAACCAAGGAGACGGACGGGGGGGGGGGGAGGGGGGGGGCGAGGTCTTCATACCCCGTCAAACCACCTCCAAGTGCCAATTGCACGCCCCTCGTGCAAAGTGGGGCAGGCAAGAGATGTGAGCAAGGAGCTGCTTTGCAGGTCTCTGATGACTTGGGAGGGGGGGGGGGGGAAACAAGCATGCAGAAAGACCCCGACCATTGCAGATGCTGCAGGCGGGACATCTGGGGAGGTTCTGGAGCCCTCCAGGTCCTGGTTCTCCCAAAGGTGCTTTTTTTTTTCTTTCCAAGAGACAATTGGACTTTCTGGTTTTTTTCTTTGAAGACGTTTCGCTTCTCATCCCAGAAGCTTCTTCAGCTCTGACTGGATGGTGAGGAACGGAAGGATTGATACTCCTTGCAGGCAGCTGGTCCTCTGCGTCCTTTTAGAGGGTTGTTGGGGCCACTTGGAGGTCACCCGAGTGGTGCAAATGGGTGTGGAGCCTTCTTGGAACTGCCGAAAGCACCGGGTGGTACTATGTCTGCAAGGAGTATAAATCCTTCTGTTCCCCACCAATGGGAGGGTGGAGAGAGATTTCAATCCTGACAAAGAATTGGAAATTTGTGCCAGAGATTGAGGAGGGCAATGTGTTTTTTGTTTTGTTTTTTAAAGCCAACATTGGTGAACGTTGGGACGGGAGAGTTGGATGGGAGGGGATGGATGGGTGTGGAGGGGTAGATAGCCCTGTGGATTGTCCCCCTCCCTGCTGACCCCCCAGCCCTTTCTCTCCCTCTCTCCAGAATTCAGACGACCTGCTGGTGGCTTCGGCCGAGTGTCCCAGCGACGATGAGGACTTGGAGGAGTGCGAGCCGAGTACCGGTGGGTCTTTTTCCATCCTCGCTGCCCCGGGACACCCCCAAGTCAGGAAGGGGAGGGACTGCCCCAGCCTTGCCCAAGCCCCAGGGATGAGTGGGGGGGGGTCTCTCTCTGTGCAGAGACTCAAGCAGGCGACTTTTTTGCAAACCCGGGACCCCCAGTAGCAGTTGGGCACCACATTTGCCTCCTCTTTCCTGCATTCTCTTTTCTCTTCCCTTCCCTTCCCTCCTCTCCTTTTCTATCCCCTTCCCCTCTATCCCCTTCCCCTCTCTCCTCTCTATCCCCTTCCCCTCTCTCCTCTCTATTCCCTTCCCCTCTCTCCTCTCTATTCCCTTCCCCTCTCTCCACTCCTCTCCTCTCTTTTCCTCTCCTCTCCTTCTATCCACTTTCCTTTCCCCTCTCTCTTTCCC